GATAATGGTGTATTTAGCCAGGATAGTGATTCGTATCAGAAGTGAGGTGTATGGGGGGGATTGTAGGGGGGTTGGATGGGGTACGACCTTGTGGGACAGGTGAAGCGGCCGACCTTGGGATGGGGGAGAGAGGGAGGGAGGGAGAGAGGGGCAGGTAGAGGAGGAGGAGAATTGAGGGAGAGAACTGAGGAGGGAGGAGAATTGAGGGGAAGGAGGCAAGAACAGAGAGAAGGATATGTGGGGAAAAGAGAAAAAGGTAGAACAAGGGAAGAGAGAAAGGTAAGGATGGAGAGGCGAAGAGAAGAGAAGGAGCAAGTGAGAAAGAGTGTGTGAGAGAGAGAGAGATGAGGAAGGGAGAGTGGAACAGGAACCTGCAGAAACAGGAAGGTGTCTCCTGGTACCCATCTCTCTCACTCCTCTCTCACTCCTCTCTCACTCCTCTCTCAGTCCCTCCCTCTCTCTCACTCCCCCTCTCTCCCTCCCTCTCTCTCACTCCCCCTCTCTCCCTCCCTCTCTCTCACTCCCCCTCTCTCACCCCTCCTCCTCACCACACTTCTCACCCACCACCCACCATCTGGCGCCCAGGTGGACGGGGGGGGGGTGACGCCCCCCATCAAATACTTCTTCATCAATCCTTCCGTCACACACAAACAAAAAAAACAGCTAAACATAAAAAGAATAAAAGCCAGACTGTCCTCTTGCCCTGCCCCCTCCCTCCCCCCCCATACCCATGCCCAGGGGGGGGAGGGGGGGGGGATACATGCCCACGCGCGCCAAAAGTCAGGACGGATACACCCCAATTGTGCTCCTTCATGTTGAATATCTCCCTCTCTGTCTCTCTCAGTCACCAGGTTATATAGATGTCTGTTGCCTTGGGGGCTCTGGGCCCGGCGACACCTGTAGCCTTGGGGCCCCTGGGGCCCGGCGACACCTGTAGCCTTGGGGCCCCTGGGGCCCGGCGACACCTGTAGCCTTGGGGGCTCTGGGCCCGGCGACATCTGTAGCCTTGGGGTCCCCTGGGGCCCGGCGACACCTGTAGCCTTGGGGGCCCTGGGCCCGGCGACACCTGTAGCCTTGGGGGCCCTAGGGCCGGCGACACCTGTAGCCTTGGGGGCCCTAGGGCCGGCGCCACCTGTAGCCTTGGGGCCCCTGGGCCCGGCGACACCTGTAGCCTTGGTTGCCCTGGGCCCGACCACAGCTGTAGCCTTGGGGCCCCTGGGCCCGGCGACACCTGTAGCCTTGGGGCCCCTGGGCCCGGCGACACCTGTAGCCTTGGGGGCCCTGGGCCCGGCGACACCTGTAGCCTTGGGGGCCCTGGGCCCGGCGACACCTGTAGTCTTAGGGTCCCCTGGGGCCCGGCGACACCTGTAGCCTTAGGGTCCCCTGGGGCCCGGCGACACCTGTAGCCTTGGGGGCCCTGGGCCCGGCGACACCTGTAGCCTTGGGGTCCCCTGGGGCCCGGCGACACCTGTAGCCTTGGGGGCCCTGGGCCCGGCGACACCTGTAGCCTTGGGGTCCCCTGGGGCCCGGCGACACCTGTAGCCTTGGGGGTCCCTGGGCCCGGCGACACCTGTAGCCTTGGGGTCCCCTGGGCCCGGCGACACCTGTAGCCTTGGGGGTCCCTGGGCCCGGCGACACCTGTAGCCTTGGGGCCCCTGGGCCCGGCGACACCTGTAGCCTTGGGGGACCCTGGGCCCGGCGACACCTGTAGCCTTGGGGCCCCTGGGCCCGGCGACACCTGTAGCCTTGGGGGCCCTGGGCCCGGCGACACCTGTAGCCTTGGGGGCCCGGCGACACTTGTAGCCTTGGGGTCTCTGGGCCCGGCGACACCTGTAGCCTTGGGGCCCCTGGGCCCGACCACAGCTGTAGCCTGGGGACATCCCAGGACTAGCCCGGCATGTCCTCCCATACTGTGAGGTTGGGACGGGACAAACATGGCGGCCTTGTAATGATGCAATGTGTAAGGAGAGGGAATACTTCCTCGGCGGGGTGTTGTTAATGGGTAGTTTGTCCCAGCTGGAAGAACAGGTGTCTTCACCTAGTTGCGGGGGTTGAGCTCTGGCTCTTTGGTCCCGCCTCTCAACCGTCAATCAACTGGTGTACAGGTTCCTGAGCCTATTGGGCTCTATCATATCTACACTTGAAACTGTGTATGGAGTCAGCCTCCACCACATCACTTCCTAATGCATTCCATCTGTTAACTACTCTGACACTGAAAAGGTTCTTTCTAACGTCCCTGTGGCTCATTTGGGCACTCAGTTTCCACCTGTGTCCCCTTGTTCGTGTCCCACCAGTGTTAAACAGTTTATCCTTATCAACCCTGACAATTCCTCTGAGAATTTTGTAGGTAGTGATCATGTTTCCCCGAGCAGTTTATGAATGAAGACTTAAAACTGATGACCTTCAAGCTGTTCTTGAACAGTTCCTCGTGTGTTCACTTCTGTTCCACGTCTCTAAAGTGCCTCTCGTCCTATGTTCACCTCTAACTGAGGGGCCTGACAGCTGAGTGGACAGCGCTTCAGATTCGTAGTCCTGAGGTTCCGGGTTCGATCCCCGGTGGACGCGGAAACAAAATGTGCAAAGTTTCTTTCACCCTGATGCTCCTGTTACCTAGCAGTAAATAGGTACCTGGGAGTTAGACAGCTGCTACGGGCTGCTTCCTGGGGGTGGAGGCCTGGTTGAGGACCGGGCCGCGGGGACGCTAAGCCCCGAAATCATCTCAAAATAACCTCAAGATATAGGGAGCCGGTCGGCCGAGCGGACAGCACGCTGGGCCTGTGGTCCCGGGTTCGATCTCGGACGCTGGCGAGAAACAATGGGCAGAGTTTCTTTCACCCTCTGCCCCTGTTACCTAGCAGTAAAATAGGTACCTGGGTGTTAGTCAGCTGTCACGGGCTGCTTCCTGGGGGTGGAGGCCTGGTCGAGGACCGGGCCGCGGGGACACTAAAGCCCCAAAATCATCTCATTAATTATCAACTTATCATCATCATCAAAATCATCATCTTAAGGTTATCTTAAGATAACCTTAAGATAACCTAACTTAACGTAACCAATCTAAATAACTAACCTAACCCAACCTAACTCAACCCAAACTTAACCTCACCTAAGTCTAACTATTCACAAAATGAATTTATATTCTAATATTAAGACACCTGGTGGGCTCAGTATTCACATGTGAATACTTTGTTTTAGCCCACCCTGTTATTTTCCCTGAGAATTTTGTAGGTGGTTATCATGTCTCCCCTCACTCTTCTGTTTTCCACATATGTGAGGAGGCTCAGTTGGTTTTAGCTGTATCCGGATACGGTGAGAAACTTTGTATCGGCCAGTGCGCGCCACCGTGAGTGACTGACTCATGCCGACGGTGAGGAAAAGCGTGAGGCAGCAACGCTCCTCATAACTTCCCGTGATATGCGATAGATTGTGCGACGATAGCCGTAATGTGGCGAAATGTGGCGAGATAGCGAGCGGTGTGTAGGGCGATAGCTGGATGTGCGCTCCCCACGATATGAGGACAAGGAGCTGGGATATGAGGACAAGGAGTTGGGGTATGAGGACAAGGAGCTGGGATATGAGGACAAGGAGCTGGGATATGAGGACAAGGAGTTGGGGTATGAGGACAAGGAGCTGGGATATGAGGACAAGGAGCTGGGATACGAGGACAAGGAGCTGGGATATGAGGACAAGGAGCTGGGATGAGGACAAGGAGCTGGGATATGAAAACAAGGAGCTGGGATATGAGGACAAGGAGCTGGGATATGAGGACAAGGAGCTGGGATATGAGGACAAGGAGCTGGGATATGAGGACAAGGAGCTGGGATATGAGGACAAGGAGCTGGGATATGAGGACAAGGAGCTGGGATATGAGGACAATGTTGCAACCCATCCTCCGAATTGACAGTACGTTTTAATACTAAGTGTAATAAGTACATTTCCTGACTGTCATACATAGTACATAATTGCACTTATGGGGCTGTTACATTTACCTCCCCATTTAATTCTCCTCGTTTTCTGTTAAGACACTCAGAATTTTAGGATGAAGTTTTAAAGTTCAGTTTGCTATACACAAGTTTTAAATATGAGGAATTTCTTTTTCAGTTTTATTAAACAATAGAGATTTTATACAAAATTTGAAAATATCCTGAGTTACTTTACAATTTATTTAAATATTTTAGTTTTGTTTTATTTGTTTTATAAAACTGTAATATCAATATAGCTATAGGTTAAGTAGTAATTGTAATTAAGAAGCAATAAAATGCTTATCTTCAAAAACTAAGAAGGTTAGGTTAGGTCGTGGTTTTCTATTCAGCTTTTCAGGTAAACTCAAATATTCACAATATATTTGACAGTACGATTTAATACTAAGTGTAAATAAGTACAATTCCTGACTGTCATACATAGTACATAATTGCACTTATGGGGCTGTTACATTTACCTCCCCATTTTTGGAGGACGGGCTGTACTCGGGCGCATTCTACCATCTTCAAGACCAAGGTAGAGTACCTACCCTGGAATCACAGACCGAAACTGTCTCTATTTTCCGCTTGTTACAACTTGTAATAAAGTTGTTACATCTTGGCTTAACGTGTTTATGACGTATTAGATCGTTGTTACAACTTGCTATATTGGTTGTTATAACTGGTTAAAACTTGTTCGAACGTTGTACCAACGTCGTAGTTTCGGTGTGTGTTTGGCGGGTATCACGCTGCCTCAAGCCATCATAAGAAGTATATGGCAACAGCAATGTATACAGTCCGTTTGATAACCTCAATCTGTATTAGTAAAATCATCCTGTTTATACGATATTTTCCCGACTCTCTTGATCTAGATCGTACGATCAAACCCCGTCTGGTGTTTGATCTATCACCAAGAGAACGACGCGTAGCGCACACACTCTTATGCATTAAGGGATTCAGTCCTTCTGGTAATATATATATATAATCATATCGAATTCTAAAGGTGTTCTTTGGGATTGATGGGAATGTTTTCGTTTGTTTCAGAGTACGAAATGGCGCGCCGGTTCGAGGCTGAGGATTCTGAGGGCTCCAACGATGCCATGTCACCCTCCAAAGCAAAGGGTATGTGATGCACAGTGCCAGGCGGGGTTGTCTTCAGTGTAGGGGGACTTCAGGGTTGCTCTATGGCCCCCCTGAGATAGTCTTTGGGGACGTAGCATGGATGCTTCTGGTCTTCTGGGATGGCCCAGGAGCCTTGATGATGGGTCCTCAAGGTTGGTCCAATCTTGAATTCCCGGGGTGATCTCTGGAACGATGGCCAGAGGTCTTTGGGCTCCTGGAGTGACCAGAGGTCTTTGGGCTCCTAGAGTGACCAGAGGTCTTTGGGCTCCTAGAGTGACCAGAGGTCTTTGGGCTCCTAGAGTGACCAGAGGTCTTTGGGGCTCCTGGAGTGACCAGAGGTCTTTGGGGCTCCTAGAGTGACCAGAGGTCTTTGGGCTCCTGGAGTGACCAGAGGTCTTTGGGCTCCTGGAGTGACCAGAGGTCTTTGGGGCTCCTGGAGTGACCAGAGGTCTTTGGGACTCCTAGAGTGACCAGAGATCTTTGGGGCTCCTAGAGTGACCAGAGATCTTTGGGGCTCCTAGAGTGACCAGAGGTCTTTGGGGCTCCTAGAGTGACCAGAGGTCTTTGGGGCTCCTAGAGTGACCAGAGGTCTTTGGGGCTCCTAGAGTGACCAGAGGTCTTTGGGCTCCTAGAGTGACCAGAGATCTTTGGGGCTCCTAGAGTGACCAGAGGTCTTTGGGGCTCCTAGAGTGACCAGAGGTCTTTGGGGCTCCTAGAGTGACCAGAGGTCTTTGGGCTCCTAGAGTGACCAGAGGTCTTTGGGGCTCCTAGAGTGACCAGAGATCTTTGGGGCTCCTAGAGTGACCAGAGGTCTTTGGGGCTCCTAGAGTGACCAGAGGTCTTTGGGGCTCCTAGAGTGACCAGAGATCTTTGGGGCTCCTAGAGTGACCAGAGGTCTTTGGGGCTCCTAGAGTGACCAGAGGTCTTTGGCCGAACGATTCTTAAGAATCAAATTTGTAGAAGCATTAGAAAATGGGAGTTCAATACGCCACAGTTCCCCCTACCGGTCATGGGGAAAGGGCGCCTTGCGCCGTGTAGCATGTGAGGTGTGCCGGCCACATGGGGGTTTAGGGGCAACAATTGGCACTTCCCGGAGTGAGAGCAGTGCCAGGAAGTGCCGCACTGTCCATAATGAGGGGGGGGGGGTGCTCATCCGCCGGACGGCCGCTTCCTCGACCAATTGGTTGCTCTACACTGAGTGGTCTACATGGTGCCTCTTGTATACTGAGTGGTCTACATGGTGCCTCTTGTATACTGAGTGGTCTACATGGTGCCTCTTGTATACTGAGTGGTCTACATGGTGCCTCTTGTATACTGAGTGGTCTACATGGTGCCTCTTGTATACTGAGTGGTCTACATGGTGCCTCTTGTATACTGAGTGGTCTACATGGTGCCTCTTGTATACTGAGTGGTCTACATGGTGCCTCTTGTACACTGAGTGCTCTACACTAGTCCAAATTATAATTTATATAGATGTGATAGAGCAACTAGGTCAAATAGAGGAGTAGGTGTATGTCTGTATACTGTAGTGTATATATACTCTATACTGCATACTGCAATATACTCTATACTGTATAAATGTAGGTCTGTATATTAAAGAGAGCCTGGTATGCACAGAGCTACTAAACTCAACCAATGAGAGGGTAGAAGTACTTGGAATCACGGTAGAAAACAAATAAACCTAATTATTATTTTAATATATAAACCGCCAGATACAACGGTTGAGGAATTCACAGAGCAGATGCACAAAATAGAGAACATCCTTGACAACCTAACAAACCCAGCTCCAGATATTATCTTCCTTGGAGACTTCAATCTACCAAGTCTAAGATGGAGAATGGCAAACAAAATTATCATAGCAGGGAACCAACTTGGAAATAATCAACCACAGGTCAGAGAAGTTATGAGATTCTGTGACGAATTCTCGCTCAATCAACAGACTACAGAACCAACAAGGAACGAAAACACACTAGACTTGTTATTCACAAACAATGATGAGTTAATCAGAGACATCACAATCTCAAATACTATATACTCAGACCATAAGCTCATTGAAGTGCGAACAAACATTAATAACGGTAATAGGTCCAAGAGAATCAACAAGCGAGAAAGGATATTCAATCAATTCAATTTTAACAATAAGAGGATCGACTGGGAAAAAATAAATGTAGACCTTGCAAACATTCAAAGGGAGACGGTCTTAAGCGACAAAACTCCCACACAGGGAATAGCTCAACTGACAGCTGAAGCTTACAAGGTCTGCTTGAAGCACGTGCCTGTGAGGAGGGGCAGAAAGAGGACCACTCTAGAAAGAGAACGCAGACGACTGTACAGGAGAAGGAAAAAAATAACGGAAATGCTTCGGCAGACACAACTATCACAAGCAAGGAAAATAAACCTAAGCAGGGAGATCAAAGAAATAGAGCAAACGTTGAAGTGATCATACGAGGCTGAGGAAATGGAATTGGAACAGAAAGCTATACAAGAGATAAAGAAAATTCTAAATATTTTTTCTCACTCAAAATCAAAATCTAAAACCTCCACCAGTATTGAGCCTTGCACAAAGGACAAAGAGATTAGTGAAATTCTAAGAAGCCAGTATGAGGCTATGTTTAGCACACCAATAAACAACATGAAAGTTGATGACCCAGACAGCTTCTTTATGAATGACATTCAAGTTGCAGATAATATAACGGATATTAACACGAACTCGGAAGACTTTGAAAGAGAAATTGACAATATGCCCATGCACTCAGCTCCTGGGCCTGACTCATGGAATTCAATATTCATAAAGAAATGTAAAGTACCAGTAGCGAGAGCACTCAGCGTAATATGGAGAATGAGCCTGGATACAGGAGAGATACAAGCTGCACTTAAATCTGCATATATAGCTCCTCTGCACAAGGGGGGTAGTAAAGCTTTGCCAAAAAATTATTAACCAGTTGCATTAACATCACACATAATAAAAAAAATAAAGTGTGCTTAGGAATTAAGTTTCTAGTTTTATGGAACATAATAAACTACCCAGGACAACATGGATTTAGAGCGGGAAGATCCTGTCTGTCACAGTTACTCAACCAGAAAATCACAGACGCCTTAGAAGAAAAGCTAAATGCAGAGATTGTATACATAGACTTAACAAAGGCATTCGACAAATGTGACCATGGAGTGATAGCCCATAAAATGAGGTCAATAGGAATAACAGGTAATGTGGGGCGTTGGATTTTCAACTTTCTGTCAAACCGAATGCTGAGAGTGACGGTCAATCAAGTAAGATCAAGCCCAAGTGCAGTGAAAAGTTCTGTACCCCAGGGCACAGCCCTTGCACCGCTGCTGTTTCTCATTCTTATCTCTGATATAGACAAAAATACTAGTCACAGCTTCGTGTCATCCTTTCCAGATGATACACAAGTCAGCGTGAGAATTGCTACTGTACAAGACACTGATAAACTGCAGGCAGCTATTAATAAGGTCTTCGATTGGGTAGCTGAAAATAACATGAGGTTTATTGGTAATAGTTCCAGGTACTGAGGTATGGTGGAAACGAGGAACTTAAACGAAACACAGGGTATAGGACACAATCAGACCTACTCATAGAAGGAAAGCAACATTTGAAAGACCTGGGAATTATGATGTCTGACGACCTGACATTTAGTGAACATAACCGAGCAAATATAGCGGCGGCCAGGAAAATGATAGGATGGATTATGAGAAATTTCAAATCCAGGGATCCCACAGCAATGCTAATACTATTTAAATCACTGGTGCTGTCCCGTCTTGAGTATTGCTCGGTACTCACTTCATCTTTCAGAGCGGGAGAGATCTCTGAATTAGAGGGAATAGAGAGAACATATACAGCACGCATAGACACGATAAAACCTCTAAACTATTGGCACCGTCTCAATGCTCTCAAAGTGTACTCTTTGGAAGGAGACGAGAGAGTTATGATATAATATATACATGGAAGATACTGGAGGGCCAGGTCCCAAATTTACAAAGTAGAATACAAGTTCTTGCAAGAAGTGCCGGACCAACCGGCTGTAGTAGATATGTGGGCCTGCGGGCCGCTCCAAGCAACAGCCTGGTTATCTTCTTGAGGTTATCTTGAGATGATTTCGGGGCTTTAGTGTCCCCGCGGCCCGGTCCTCGACCAGGCCTCCACCCCCAGGAAGCAGCCCGTGACAGCTGACTAACTCCCAGGTACCTATTTTACTGCTAGGTAACAGGGGCATTCAGGGTGAAAGAAACTTTGCCCATTTGTTTCTGCCTCGTGCGGGAATCGAACCCGCGCCACAGAATTACGAGTCCTGCGCGCTATCCACCAGGCTACGAGGCCCCCTAGTGGTGGACCTAGTTATCACAAATCAAGCCTGGCCTGAGGCCGGGTTCGGATACCTCTGAAGTATAAACATCAGAGGTCCGCGGTTGTTCAACGTGCTCCCAGCGACTATAAGAAATATTGCCGGAACAACCGTGGACATCTTCAAGAGAAAACTGGACTGTTTTCTAAGAGAAGTTCCGGATCAGCCGGGTTGTGGTGGGTATGTGGGCCTGCGGGCCGCTCCAAGCAACAGTCTGGTGGACCAAACTCTCACAAGTCGAGCCTGGCCTCGGGCCGGGCTTGGGGAGTAGAAGAACTCCCAGAACCCCATCAACCAGGTATATGTGGGCCTGCGGGCCGCTCCAAGCAACAGCCTGGTGGACCAAACTCTCACAAGTCGAGCCTGGCCTCGGGCCGGGCTTGGGGAGTAGAAGAACTCCCAGAACCCCATCAAGCAGGGGAGTAGAAGAACTATATATATATATATATATATATATATATATATATATATATATATATATATATATATATATATATATATATATATACATATATATATATATACATATATATATATATATATGTCGTACCTAGTAGCCAGAACTCACTTCTCAGCCTACTATGCAAGGCCTGATTTGCCTAATAAGCCAAGTTTTCATGAATTAATGTTTTTTCGACA